AAATTGGCTGGAATTGTTACGTGCCTTTTAAAAGTCCGAAAGAACCGGGTAGCGCTAAACTGCCTGCATTTTCCATGCTATTTCGTGTTGTCTCTAGCTTCGAACCTTCTCTGCTCCCCGAAGAAGAATTTCTATAAAATTGAAATGATACGAAAAACGAATTTCCTCGAATTTGAAGATTTTTCCTACTACCTCTTACGTTAAGTACGAATTATAGATGCAATTGCCTTAGGCAAATTCGACATTCGTACCGTAAACGATCCCGTTTCGAGGACTGCGCGTCGACAGAGCGCGACGAACTCGAAAAGCGCAATCTTTCTGCTGCACTCACCATCTGACGCGTTATTTTCCGGTCGAAATTCATGCACGTATTTGCATATACAGGTCTAATTCTAACGGAAATATTTCTGGCTGATCGTTGTTAGATCGCGATTTAAAAAAAAAGAATACACGATCGAATTAACCGAGGATATTCCACATCGTTCGAGACCTGTTCTCGCGATAACGAATAATACTCCGTTCCCCGTAAATAACATTTCAGCGAACAATCGGAACGAACAGGTGATATTAAACAGCGGGAGCATATTTGCGCGTAAATGCTTTTCAACGTTGCATCGCAGGTAATGCCAGTTGAAACGGAGTTAATAATATTCGAACAATTATTTCTAACATGCACGATGTGTTAACGGAACAAAGAAAACACGCCGTATTAATTGTTACGATATTATCTTTTAGGTGGAAGGATATTGCATGCAGCATTCCGATGGACGGAAAAACGTAATTACTCAGCGCTGCTGATGACTATTAATATTCATTCCGCGATTCCTCTAACCGTAACTGCGTATTTCGCGTAAAAAAAAAAAAAAAAGAAGCAAGTTAGATACCAGTATCTGTTAATAAAAGACCATTCTGTTTCTTTCATTTTAATATCGAACGAGGCGTAATATTGCAACAGCGTTCGGAAACAGGGAAATAAACGTTGCTTCTGAGCAAATATTCGCAAGGTCGATTAAAACGGATAGTTAACGTGTGATATAACGACTGTCTGCGTTTCGATTGGAGGTACAGGATGAAAAATATACGAGTGACATTCGTTTCCTTTCATTTAGAGCCCGGACAAAAGGGCCTGCTACGGCAGCCCTTCGAGGACCGGAAAGCCGATTCGTGATCCGTCGCCAACAACTAATCTCGGTAATTTGCGTTGGACGCTGAGGGACGTGGACGCGCAGACGCCCAACACGCTCACGTCATTCCGTGTGATTTATATGACGCGTCCCGTTATAATGTCGCTTGACCATAATGCAATTCCAGGGGCAGGAAGTGACATGAAGAGCAACACCACGTGCTAACCGCCGCGTGCACCACGCAGATGACCTCTTACACCGGTGGCAACAGGACGATCATTAAGCGGGAGAAAGTGCCTCTTTACCGGGGTGAATTATGAGATTTTCGCGGGAAATTTATCGATCACGCACGCTGCTTTTAATAAATACTAAATTACGTTAAAATTAAGAAAACGAACTTCGGTAACAGGTAATTCCATAAGTTCGGGCAGAGAGCGGGAAATATTTGAATGAAAATTCTGTAGCGATGACATAATAGTCTTATAACAAAAATGGGAAAAGTTGTGGAATTAGAAAGCTTAGATATTTTCTGTCAAATTTAAAGATTCGTTGGAAATATTGGTCTAAATTATAAATTATGGGATGACTTGAAGAATAGAAATTCGGGGAACAAGGAAACCGAGAAAGTTGCTCAATTCCAGAATAATTCGGAACATCAGCACGGATAGAAAGAAGTCTGAGAAAATTTTTTTTAAAATCTTCAATATTCAAGAAAGCCTTCAGAAGTTTTCAGACGTGTAAGAAGCTAAGTAGAAACATCCTAGCAGTGATAACAATCGGCGTCGCAACGGTGCGCTAAACAGAAAGCGAAGCGAAGTTAGGGTATCGAAAGCGGCGAACCAGGAATCTAATGGAATTAGGATTTCGATGTTCCCGGATAATTTGAAACAGGGGCGTGTGTTACCCGAGGGAACTCCACAGCGCGTACGAAATTTCTCCGTTGGTGGAACCAAAATGGCGTCGCGTGAAATGAATCATGGAACAACTCTCTCTCTCGTTAGACGAGAGATCCAGCAGATAAGACGACTTTATTAAGCGAACGAAGAAGTTTCGCGGAAATATATTGGAACGTGAGTGGAAATTATCCGATAGATTGGAAAATAAATGTAACAGCTAATTACGGGGAACAAACGAGTGGAATAGAGGGATCTCGTTTGAGCGCAAAATTCATCCTATTTCCTAGGCAGGCGAGAGTAAACGGGTTGAAAAAGGGGGACGAATAGCCTGGTCCCGTAGCAAAATGGAGCACGAAGTAGGAACGAGAGAAAGATAATCGGTCGACGGGATTCAGGAAAGTTACAAGAACCCCGGAGTTTACTCGATTTGGCAACTTCGATATTCACTCGCGTGGCCGACCAACTCTCTCTCCCCCCCCCCCCCCCCGCCGCTTTTCCTACTCATTTCCCTCGGTACAATCAGGAGGAGGAGGTAAAGTATGCCGCCGTCTTCGTTGAATTTCAAACGATCCTGCAAATCGAATGAAGCCCGCCATGAATCTTTTCATTCGAACGGCTTTGCCAGTTGACGACGGTGATGGAGGGGTGTGGTGGTTGTCGGGGAACGGTGAAAAGGGCGGGTTGCCGTCCGACGTTTGAACGACGCGCGAGTGACAGAGACGATCGAGCTGCTGCGATGAACTTGCGATAAATAGCGGGAAAATGAAAGAAAAACGGGGGATGAAAAAGCGGTGTGAGTTCGAAAAGGATTGAAATATAGTTGGAGATTTGAACTCGAACGGATAACGAAGAAATAGGTTAATACACGCGGGACAAAGTGTACTTCGGTGCGGCGATCATTAACGCTAATGTCTCGGATGAGAATAATTATCGGTTGCGTCCTCTTACACGCGCGCCAGCGATTCATTAGACGATGCTATCTTCGTGGAAACTGTAATTACACCACGGTTGAAGTGAAAACTGTGGTGCGTCGATTATCTCGGCCCTCGAATTGATCAAGATCCTCGATAAATCCTCGAGTCGACGAAGATTCGATCGATCAGACAGGAATTCTGTGAAAGTAGAAATTTGCACCGAGCAATTCTGTAAAGAAGTACGATCGCTGGTCTGGCGCGTTGCATGACCCGAGAAAATAATCGAATCTAGCAGGATAGCACCGATAATACTGACAAATCGTACGAATCGATCACTGGAAAACTGAGCCACGCGAACAGAATCGATTTCGAACCTCGTTGTACCGTTCCGTGTCAATTCGTATCGTCGATAAGGGAATCTAGCGAAATTTCGATCGATCCTCTGTTATAACAAACGCAGGAAAAATAACTTCCTCTAAGTTGCCGTTCCGAAATCAAAGCGTATCGAATCGTGTTAGAAATGGAAATCGACGCGCGACTAAAATATACAACTTCTGTTTAAAATCGTTCGATAGAGCAGAGAGAGGGAGGGAGAAGGAAGAGCAATTTGCAGAAATTCGAGCGCAGCTTGTGTAACATGGAAACACGACTAATTGTGAAATTAATGGCATGAATGCCCGTGGGTCTCGGGTGGGACATTACCGGCCGATATTTAATCGTAAATTCGTTCAATTTGTTGGAACAACGGGGAACGAATGAGGGGGTGGGACGAAGGGAGGAAAAACGATTTCGGTTCGAACGAATTATTTTCTGACGATCGGAAATGAATGTATTGTTGGCTGATACAATTCGAACGAAACAATAGAGGCAGCAAAACGAAAAGTCAATCATTTTCGAAACGTTTTAATGGACAAGTAATTTTGTGCAAAAAACAAAAACAACGGGGGAGGTTCAAACACAACAATCGGGTGAATCACACACGTGTTTTTTTTTCTTTTTTTTTTGTTCATGTCTGTACTTACATGTCTCGTGTCTGCCGCAAGAAGGGGCGTGTGTGCCTGCAACAATGAGTACCGAGAAAATTAGACCGGTGGTACCGCGGGTCGATGAAAAATTTTCTTTGCTTTCTACGGAGCTTCATGCTTCGGCAAAGACTCCGCTCATTCGACGCTTTCGAGGAGTTTCCCCGGCTCGAAAGCACGCTATCATGCGATAACACGCGCCTGGATAGGGTCATGCAAAAAGTAGGGGAGCAATAGAGAAACAGTTTTTAGGTTTCAGCAATCAAATCTAACACGCAGGCTTTCGAAAAAATTCACTTCGGTAGCTGTCTACGTAACAAGATTTCAAAGGAACACTTTTTCTTCGAACTTGCATTCGTCGTGGAAACTGAAAATTTCAAAGCACCGGGAAATGAGATATATTCAGTTTTCACACGTCACAGCGTTCGGAGTATATTTTTTCGCGCATCGATCAAATCAACTTGACTCTTTATCTAATGACTTGCGCCACACGGGAAGAGTCAGACGTAAACCGAGTGGCAAACACATCTCCAGCTGCCGAGGATAGAAGAGAAGTAAAGCTCGATAGTTCGGGAAGAGGCGAGCGTGTGGAACGTTTCGCAGCCTCTCTCGAGGATCGGTGATCACGAAACGATTTCTCTCATGGTAAGTTTTCCAGACGAGAGATCCATCTATGGTCTCCGCGGACCTCGAGTGTGCTGGGGGAAAAAATCACGAATTCTGTTCACCGCGTGAAATTATTTCCCCGTCGCGAGCTTACGATCGGAAAAGCGACGGACGAAATTTCGCGAGGAAATTTAGCATGCAAACTCGAAAAGTTGGAAATTGAACTGTAACCGAGGTAAGGTAACACTTTCGTGAAAACGTTTCCGGCGACTGCCGAAAAACCGCGTTCAACGAATCGACGTTTCCCAAAGCTTTCCCGTTAATTCCGACCAGTCACACTTTCACCCGCGAATTTTCCCCAGCGTTCTCGATCCGGCTCGTTCGCTCGAACGCCGCGTGTCGTTGCGAGAGAACGATTATCGATTCGGATCCCCCTGAACAGCCTGGATACATCGCGTATTTCGCTCGTATACACCCATTTTTTCCGGCAGATTTAATTAATGCGTGTCTCCGCGGTGTGTGTACACCGTCATCAGTCCGCTCGTTTAAAGAAGGATTAATCTAGCTCTGGCTGCGACACGTGATATCGTTTAATCGCGACTCGTTCCATCAGAAGAGCCACTTCACCGAGAAAGGAACCGATCTTTTCACTTGGAAAATTACCGCAACAGACCTCGTTAGAGTCCGTCACGAATATCTGGTTTTCACTCTGCTTGGAAAACAAGCGATCGTCGCCTGGGAAGGAAAGATCCTTCGCCGTTGCGACGAGAGATAGAAGATGAAACGAGGTTACACAGCTAGTTATCACCGAGAAGGAGGAAAATGAGAAGCCGCATTTACTTCGACGAGATGATCGAGATGAATCACCGAGCTTTTCTCCTTTCCATCCGGCAATCCTTATTCACGTCCCTTGTCATTTCGCCCCTGTTTCTCTCGCCACCGAGCCAATACTAATGGAAATTTATCGAAACTCGAATACGCGTGTACCGCGACGAGTCCTCGGGGTAGCGTTGCCGCGAAGAGAAGTGTATTATGCCTACGTCCATAGCATGGCATTCAATTTGAACCTTCTATTATTGAAACGTTTATGCAACTGTTTCAAGTCCACGTAATACACGTCTCTATGGAGCATTTGTGAAACGAGTGCGTGACAATAGTGCACGTCTGGCCTCGCGAGGAAATTCATTAAGCGGCGTCGTTCGAATGGAAGTTTCGCTGGAACAATCGAAACTTGTGTATCTACGAATCGTATCATCGATTGCGCTAACGTTCCAGCCAGCTACTGTGCAGAATTTTTACGCGGTTTCGAGTGGCCGCATCCTTAGAAACCGATCATAACGATAAATAGGAGCGGCGCGAGGTAACAATAGGCCGAAGATAGCCCCAGACAGGTAATTTCCTTCGTATTTCTTACTTTGTACCGTCGAGAACAATGGAAAAACGTCTTGCAGCGGGTGCAACGTGACGGAAGAAAGCTGCTCTATCGTTCGATATCCCAGACTTCCCTTTATA